GAAGGTTTCTGTTAATTAAATGTTCTCCTCAACTGCTTGATTAGCACAAAGAGCAATTAACCTTTGATCTCACATCCTCCAGATAGGGTGTAGGTGAATTGTAAAGGCATTGCAAGTCTTCTGTCGTTTTCATTTTTAGTAAATGGCTCTTCATTTGCCAGTAATAAAAAATGTACATATATAGCTCTGTCATACAGAGTGCCCTGGAACCATTTACATCAGTCCCTACCCAAAGAAGCTTTTGTCTAATGTCTAGAACCATTATGAGTCAGTTAAAGCAACACTAAACTCAGCAGTTAAATCTTACAAATGCATTCAAGAACCTTAAGTATCTACAAAAATCTTTATTTGTGTAGATCCTCAAATCATCTCTGAATTGGTGCTGACACTGTGGGGTCTATTCACAAAGCTGCCGAGGGCAGCCGAGTGAATGACCGATCAGAAGTGAAGTGAGCCGAACACTGTTCGGCTATTCACGTCAGGCTGGTACGGCTGATTTCAGCCGTACAACGGCTGAAATCAGCCGTACATCGGCTTGCTTAAGTTTACAACACACACACACACATGGACCATAGGGAACAAAAGTAGCCACCCTCCAGAAAGAAGGACAGTGTCAGCACCAATCCATTGATGATTTGAGGCTCTACACAAATAAGATTTTTGTGAATAGTTAAAGTACATGAATGTATTTTTAAGATTTAACTCCTGAGTTAAGTGTCAGTTTAACTTAACCGTATGGCAGACATGCAGAGCGTATTCATGGTAGGGACAAAATCCAGGATCTCGGCTGTATAAGGCAAGAGCACCAATGTGCTACACAATAGAGTCTTTCTGAAATTGAATTACACATCAAAATGAATTGTGCCACTTGGCCGCCAGAATCAGTATGTGTCTCTGTGATGTTCTATCACAATTATGAAATTAATTGCAAGCTTATTGATTTCACACTCAGACAACAAGGATTGCATGTTGCAGCCCACACGCTGCAATGCAGTGCTGTAAACTGTGCCCTCTGTGACAAGGCAAATTGTCTTGTGTTGGCGCTGCAATGGAAAAACCAGCCAGTGCAACCACAAGGTACTTGGGTAGAATCAAACCTTAATGAGTAACAGATCTGGAAAAGCAAGCAGGTATGGGACTTATTACTTCAATTACTGTGTGCTTGTTCCAAGTCAATAACTCACTAAGTAGTAAAGTAATGAGATGGTCATACCCACCAGGGAACCACTAACTTATTGACAAGTCAAAAAAGGAAAGGTTTACTTTAAGGCCTACTGTATTCCTCTGACCCTTATAGCTGTTTGGAGGCAAGCATAGGTTGTGCAAGAGTCAAATGTGCTTCTGCATCTCAGAGCATAAAATCATTTTAGAAGTAAACCTGTCACAAACATGAGCAAATCAAATTGAGCATATTGTTAAAAATGCATAAGCAGAGGTTACCATTTGTGAAAAACTTATGTCAAAGCAATCAGAAGATCCAGAGATACATATAGCTGAAATTCAATGAAAATCTCAACTGTTCCTACAGCAATTAAGGTTGTCCCTGTCACTCCCTTATCATAACAACTGTTCCAGTCTGCTGTAGCTCTGATTTTCTATAGCTGCCAAAAGAATTTCAAATTGCTGTTCCCTATAATGATGGCAATAATATTTAATTTCTAGAAAAAAATTATCTGACTTCTCAGGTACTTGATTTGCCTTTACCAAAAGTATGAACTAAGATTATGTCCCCATTAAAGGCATCCTGATGCAAAAAAAGTCCTTTTATTTACTATACTGTCTACTTATCTTTAGTAAGTTGCATATTTAAAAGGAAATGATCATGTGATTACAGCAAAGGCAAATCCTCCCATTTAGCACTTATTTGAACTTATTTCGGCAAGTGTACCAGAATGACTTTTCTCTGTATCTAGTGAAGATATGCAGGAAACGATCAGATATAAAGCTTATTTAAAGTCTTGTAGTTCATCTATATGTAAACAAAAAACTGGTAGTTTTAATCTTGTAATAGCTAATTAAATCACAGCTTATTTATCCACAGGTCAGAAATTAGAAAGGTTTTCAGCATCAATCTTGAATAACAGTGATATTTTCCAAATATTTTCCTCTGTAGGCCAGAAAAAAAGTGACTGCCATCTGTAGACAAGACAGGCCAGCATGCTGCAGAGATGGTCTCTTAATCTCTGTGTGAAAGCAGCGGTCTCTGCTGAGGTGCAACACCCCCCTTCCTAAAAAGCCAGAGCTCTCCAATCAGCAGGGAGCATTAACTATAGCTCTGACTCAATAAGGGGTGTTCCAGACCTCTGCAGAGAGACCACTGCTTTCTCATAGAGAGCAAGGGTCCTTCTCTGCAGAATGCACGCAGGGGACAGCCTTTTCTGCTCAAACTGTAGGTGCTTTCCAAAAGTAAGGGAACTATAAAATTTTGCATATCTTTTATTTTAATGCACCTGGAATTAATTTAGCTGCTTTAGATTTAGAAATTTCAGTTGGGCTATAATTCTGAGAAACAATATTGTGCCGAGCTAATAATCATACACATCTAATAAATTGAAACATATATAAATGAGTCACATATATGAGCCTTCAAACAAATGAGGCATAGAAAATATCTACACAAAGACAAAAAAGCAATATAGACAATAAAAAGTCTCAAGGAAAAAACAAAATCAAACAATGGTGATTGTGCAAAAAAAAATCCTTCAGATGATTCGCAGCCAATCTGCATATAACTCTCAGGTAAGGATAATCACACAATGCAGGCAGACCTTCTCTTTTCTCTTTAACTTTCTTTCATCTTAATAATAATAATTCCATACAAAGTATGTCATTCTGTTGTGTTAGATTTCTAGACAATACTGTGAACAGATTTCTTTGGGGAATTTCCAATAAAATATTAAACTTTTCATTTGTTCCCTTTTCTTGTAAAGGAATAGAAGTTGAAATTCTAGATTTACAACGATGACTTTAACCTTGTTTCAGTGATTTTCACTTAATTGACTTTGCCTGTGATTACCAGGGTCATGACATCTGTCTCCTCTGAGATTCATACATCATGCTAAACAGATTCTCTGCTAGTGCAGACCTCAGTCACTTTCCATGTGTAAGAGCTACATAGACCTCATTTTACTGTAACAGATGAGGAGCATTGCAAGAATGAGGTACCCTACCATATGTCCAAGTGTAAATGGTCTGGGTGGTAACATACAAAATTCATTATTTCACAATAATTTTGTCAATATGACAACTACTGTGGTACTAAATGACAATTAAATGTAAACAGAGATTTACTGTACATTAAACAAGTATTAAAATGTCACTAATACCATGTCAACTCACTTTTTTTTACTGCCCTGTTGTATTATTCTTTGATATATTTTTTATTTTTTAAATACAATTCAAATATAAATCTTTGAGGATATTGTAAGAACTGAACATACTGAACCGAAGAGTGTTACCAGGGAGGGGAGACATTTCCTATACAATGCCTGTCCACTAAACCATCTGAAAAACTCCTTGACCCTGGCATATTTTGGTCTAATATTAATATACTGTGCTACAACAGTGGGAATCAAGCATAAAAAGTGCAGATGAGCTGGAGGTGTTGTCAATACTGGTAACCGATATGGTATTAGTGTGGCTTTTTCAGTATGAAGAACAGATGAAATTAGAACAACACTTTTCTCCCCTTTGGTTTCTGTACTTTTGCTACGAGCAGGGCCATTCTAAGCCTTTTGTATGGTATTGGACTGTAATTGTACTGTCTCTCCATATTTTTTAAAGTGCTGTGCAAACTGTTGATGCACTATACATCCTGTATAAGAATAATTGTTATTATAATAATAATAATAATAATAATAATAATATTAATATACATCACCACTACTATTTCATACGCGTACATACCATTAGACTATAATCTCCATATTTGACTCCATGTTTCATTAGTAACACTTTATATTTTGCTACTGAAATGAACAACCTACACATATTAAATGTAAGAGTTCAGATTTGGGAAACGATGGTGTGGAAGGCTGTGTCAGCCACTTGCTTCTTATATCTCTTCAGAGTGGGACTTGCAATGGCAATAGCAGGTATGTGGACGCAGGAACTCAAACATGAAGATCTTTCGACTGGAAAATGTGAAAGATATTAAAAAGTGTTAAGTGATTTGTTCCTCTTTGGCACCTACCAAAAACTATTATATCAGTTTTTAAAGTGGAAGTAAAGCTAGTTAAGAAAAAACTGGTCCCCAGCAGCTTTTAGCTATAATGTGCTAGTATGCACAGCATATTAGCACATTATGGCAGACTTACCTGCCAAAATGATCCCTTCCAGCACTTCTCCCTCACTGGCACTTACATCTTCTCCCTAGTCTTCTTTGGGGGTTTGAGCGTTTGGCCTCTTGATTGTCTGTGTCCCAGTGATGTAACTCTGCGCATGGTAGTTACTTTATCTCCGTATGCCAGGTCTGTGTGCTGAGTTGCACATGCGCAGCTCACTGTACAGGTAAAAAAAATTGCTGAATGGTAGAAAGAAGTGTTTATGGCAGAAGAAACCTATGCAGTGTCTTGTGCCATTGAAAGACTGCAGATCACATTTTTTAACCCTCACTTCCACTTTAATGCCTGCTCCTTTAAAACACACATATATACTCATTTGTAGCCCACATAAGAACATTACCAGGAAAGGATTTTAGTTTACAGCATTGTTGTTTGTATAACATGATTTTCATTCTAAGACATATTTTACCTTGAATGACAGTAATGCCTGTACAATATTTACTGTACTTTTTTTTATTACAACTTAGTTGCTGAGGTCACAAACACACAACTAAAAAGTGAAGTGCATGTGAGCCCATGTAAGGTGAATGTGACATTAGAGATGTATAGCTCTGATCTCTGTGACAGAGGTAGGCGTTCCAGGCAATAAAACAGGAGGAGAATGATCTAACAAGCACAGAGCTCAGCTCCTCCTGACAGAGGAAGGATTGTACTGAAATGACAACAGTGAGTGTGTCTGCCGCACTAAAGCCTACAAAGTCAACTAAAAGATATAAAAGTGTCAGGAGGAATACCAGCATCTACCAAGCCCCCCCACAGAGGTAAGCTAGATGTTTATTTTCTATGACATCTTCTATGCATTGAGTGTTGTGGTATAGTATTATTATCACTCAATGTTGTGTGTCATTCGCCTCATGTGATAAGCTCATATGTCTCTAACATAAAACTATACAGTACATTCATAAACTGTATGCACTTTTTTCAGGGAAATACTTTATTTAAAAAAAATCACAGCTTTGTGAAAGAATATTTGAGCAAACACTAAAATTATACCTCTTGTTGAATACAGCATTATCTAAAATGATATACCGAGTAAAAGACATTGTCCATTTTTGTGTATTTTATTATGTGTATATAGATTTTTTTAAATAATAATTATAGTATTCCAGTTTGGTTGTACAATTAAAAGTTTTTGAAATATAAGTACAGTAGTACATTTTAATGAACTGATGGATTCAGCACCTAGGACAGCACATGGTCTATAGCTGATACTCTATGATAGCTATTAGGATGTGCATTTAGGTCTTCTGTTTTCCCTTTAAATCATTTTAATTAAGTTTTTAATCAACATGAGAATACAGTTTATAGGCATGAGGTTTATTTATTAAAGGCAAATAGGCTGTTCACTTTGCAAGGGATTTCTTCATTAGCTCAGTAAATGAGGCGAATCTCTGCTGACTTCCATCATTCAATTTAAAAGCAAAAATGCTGTTTTCTTTGTTTTGTTTTATTTCTTCTTGTTTGTGATTGGCTATTCTTTGCAATGTGAATTTTCACCACATTTTCTAAGCTATGGGAAACTTCCCCTACAAAGTAAGCATTCTCTTGCAAAGTGAACAGCCTATTTGCCTTTAGTACATAAAACACATAGGGGGGGGGGGGTTATAAAAAATGGAGCAGGCAGAATCTGGAGCAATTGCCCTGGACAACCAATTAGCTACTCTCTTCAGTTTGTTCAGTTAAGATTTGAAAATAAAAGAGAGAAGCTGATTAGTTATCATGCGCACCTGCTCCAGAATTTGTCTGCTCCAGTTTTGATCAATTCCGCTCATAGTGTTTAGGCATATTGCAATGCTCTGTAAACATAAAAGAAAAAATATGAAGTACATTGTCCAAGGCATTTTTTAGGTGACAGACACCAAAGACTGCAGCAGATACAACTAAAAAATCAGAGATGTATTAGATTTTGGGGTGGTAAGGCATGTCATATCACTTGTAAGGGTACTTGGGTCAATTTGTTTGTCACACCATAAATCATAGAATCGATTTGACAAAAATACCTTACCAAAAGAGTAAAGCTACGCACTGGAAACAATAACACATTTTTGTATCCTTTGTAGAATATTATGCCAGTGATGGAATACTTTTAAACAGGTCAGTTTTATTTTAACCATAGTTTGTTCTTGTAGCATTTCAGATGAAGATGAAAATGCAGAAGGGAAAGAGGAGAGCAATGACCCAGAAACAATCTTCCAGAATATTCAGATGCAAAAGGAAATTGTTGCAAATATTCGATGTAGACCCTGGCCAATGCGACAAAAGCTACGCTTACTCAAGTATGTTTTTATTTGCATACCATGATGACATTGACAAGGATATACACATATGATGCATACATGGTGGAAAATAGTGCACTTAAAGTTGCATGTTAAGAAATGGATGGAAAGTAAGGGATTATAGAGACATTTATACGAAGCAGTGGCTTTGGAACCACATATCACATAACCTTTAGTAGGTTCGCATTACCTGCCACATTTATAACTTTGTGTGCTATAAAGTAGCCACAGCTCCAAGCTCACTCCCATGATGGACTACAAGCTCAATACAAATTAGTAAACTAAACGTGATATTGTAGACCATCAAGGGAGCAAGCTTGGAGCAGTGGCTACTTTACAACACACACAGGGACCATGGGGGACAAAAGTAGCCACACTCCAGAAGGAAGGACAGTGTCAGATTTAACCTCTATATATGGAAAGGCTTCTTTACCCTAAGAGCCACTTTTAGTGTCACTTTAATATAGGAATCAAGTCATACATAGGTTCATAGGTAACACACTATAGTATATACTACTATTCTGCCTTTATTTATTGCTACATGCCATTATTTGATTTGCTAATGATCGACAAAAAAGTGTCAGGGAAAATCAATATATATTTATAAGCTTGAGGTAGACCTGTCCATTAGTAAAAAACAGTAATGCACTTTGTCTACATCCAACAGACAGGCTAAAGAGATTGTGTTGAAATATGAAGGACGCCTAACCAGAACACGAGGCTACCAGGCAGCTGGAGCAGAGGTGGGATCACGCTGATAACAATTATAATGTTTCCTATGATAAGCCATATAGGATCTACCAGTAAAAAAGCCTGGTACTTGTGGCCCATTGCTTTACTCATTTGTATACAAGGTAACCCCTAGTTTCTGAAGCGTATGCATCATTTGTTTTAGGGGTATTCATGATCCATTAGCTGCACTGCATGATTAATACTTCTTAGTGCAATCTGTCTACATGCAGTTGAAGGATCTGTTGATAAAGAGGTCCTTTAGGACCTGATAGAGTATTGACTTATGACACTCAGCAAGTTATTATGTTCACTTTGTGATATGTAAGTAAAATGGCTTCTACATGCTGAAGTGCTAGTGCTGAGACTGTTCCCCCATAGTTTATCTGATATACCTAGTTGATAATGCTGCTAATTATTTGTGAAAGGGATTCTGGCGCAAGGTCCCTGAAAAGACATGTTTGCAGCACTCTGCTGGTGCTAATGATTAGCATGCTTTATGATTAGGTGTTAAAGCTGAGCTGTGGGCACAAAAAGTTTCATTCGTTGCTTTTTTTAGATGGATTTTTCAGGTATCCAAAGTGTAATCACAAAAAATGTATTGACATGAAAAAATGTAAAGAATAATACATAAAATGCATAACAATCATTTTCCATCAACAATTAAAAGGTAAAATGTCGTAAAACGTATATATAAAATACATGGTCCCGTACATATTCACATTTCTACTGTGCACATCGACCCTGCGTCTACTTCCTTCATAACATAGCCAATACAGATAGTAATGAACTGTCACCAGATCATACAGAGTATCAATAATTGTAGAATGCGTCTAAGAGGGTCGGGAGATACTGTATTTGGTGCAAAGTGATTTGTGACAGTATTACAGGCGCTATCTACTTCCTCAGACTCAGATGCCCACTGTCTAAATTATATGTAACCTAGAAGCCAGAGATGTGCATCACCCCCTTTCTCCAAAAATGCATGCGGACGGTCTGACCTGCCTTCCAGGGCACATCAGAAACGCACCCCCTGTATCTGTGCTGTGTCCAAGGGACAGTTGAGAAGCAGGGTGCGTCAAACAGGAAGACCCAGGGGAAATCTAATACCAACGCTGGACAAGAGGTCTGGCGTTGGCATTGGATTTCCCTGTGTCTCCCTACAGGCTGCCTGTAGAAAACTACAGAGGGGGCAGATACAAGACCATTTACCCTGCACAAGGAGAGAGCAGCAGTAACTGGTCTTTATTACAGGAAGCTCCTGCACAGAAGCAAAGTTTCACACTGGATTACTGCACATACTGTATGTGGAAAACACACAAATCACACCAAGATTCAAGTAAGAATACACACGCCTCTTGAATTTAGACAATATTGCCTTATCCTGGAGTTCAGCTCTAATGTTCAAAACGCATTTAAGATGAGTGCGTGCGAATTCTGTAATCAGTGCAATTTGTTATACATTGATTAAGCTTCAGAAGCACAGCATTCAGGGATTCTATCCATCTTCATGAATTCTAATAGTTACTGTTGTCCAGAAATAAAAGGAGTAGAATTCTGACTTGGCTTTTTCATGTGGAAGAGGGAAGATATTGAAGCTAAAACTATGGCAGCCGTCATTATTGAGTTTCTATTTCACAAGCCAGCTCACTGACCTGGAACTAGACTGGAGGATGGCAGTTCAGAATTTCAGACTTCAATGACTGCATGCTTGATGTCAGTGACTTCAAATATAGCAAAACCAGGATAACAGTCCTGTAGTTTGAACTTCTTAAAAAGCAATGGCAGCTTCCATATTTCTGTTCTCACATGCTTACTGTATAAACATTTAAAGTGAATTCTGAATGTTGTTATCCGGAATACATTGTGTACCTGCATTATCAGATGTTATAAATCCTCAGCAATCTGCATCAATGTAAGTATGCATCCCTCTCATAGATACTGGGTGAGGAGGATTTACTGAAGGACTTGAGAATCTTCATACAATGTATTCAGTTATCCAATCATGGGAAAAACAAATTCCTGTTTCACATATTACACATAATTGGATAATTAAAGAAGAAATTTGCACAATCTTATGTATGAAGATTCTCATCGTAAATGACTTCATGAAATTTGCTAGCAACATTTGCTAGAAATTTGCTAGCCGCTCTTCCTGCCACCTTCCCTATGTGACCCAAAGAGATGCCTCCTGAGGCTTCAGGCTGCCTCATTATAGGGACGGCTCTGTGCACAACATACTAATACAGGTGTAGGCAACCTCAGCACTCCAGCTGTGGTGAAACTCCAAATCCCATCATGTTTCCACGAGTAATGCCTGTGGCTTTCAGAGTCTTGCAAAGCCTCATAGGACTTGTAGTTTCACCAGAGCAGGTGTATAGATGTTGCCTACCTCTAATACATATCAAAGTGTATGTGAAGCTGATTTCTTTGTAGTTTTAGATTGAGTGGTAAAGGGCTACAACCTCTATCAGGTTTTTTATTTTATTTTGTTATTGCTGTCTGTGTTGCCACTGGGGAGATTCACAAATTGGCTTGTCCTGGTGACTATTGTCACAAATACTGAAAATCCAAGAGAGAGGAAGAGAGGGAAAATCATCCATTAGAGGCACCTGTTCTGAGGCGTGTTCAGTTGCTCAGCTTCTGCGAGTGTTGAGTTAGCAAACCGCCGCCGAAGGCGCTCAGCACTGCTAACTTAGCAGCGGAAGTGAATGTGGATGCAGAACGCTGAGTGTGACGGAAAAGGTGGGGACAGAGCACCAGTGGCCATTTTAACTTGGGTACGCCTGGCAGCGCTGGAGAAAGGTGGCTGGACCCTGGTGCAGGAAATCAATTCAGTGTGGGAACCTGTTCGGCCATTCACTTCAGGCTTGTGCGGCTGATTTCAGCCCTATATCGCAGTGGTCCCCAACCCCCGGGCCGCGGCCCGGTACCGGTCCGCGGATCAAATGGTACCGGGCCGCAGGCGAAGCAGCTCTCCCAACTCTGCTCTGCCCAGCTCCGTGTCACAGACTTTACTGCGGTTCATTGTAAAAACTTTGTACAATGAACTGCAGTAAAGTCAGTGACACGGAGGAGGGACAGCTGTATGTTCCGGGCCTGAATGCCCATCGTGGTAGACGGGAACAGGGACGGAGCGGCAGGGGGCGCAGACAGGAGATGAGGCGGACGCACTAGCTCAATGCTAGAGCGGCAGCAGGAGGAGGCGGGGACGGAGCGGCAAGGGGCGGAGACAGGAGATGGGGCGGAGACAGGAGATGGGGCGGACGCCCGGGAGATCGAAGAGGTGAAGATGGAGGAGACTGGAGGGCAGATGACGGTAGCTGAGGAGGCGGGGAAAGGCGGAAGATGGAGGAGACGTTGATTGGGTGCCGAGGCAGCGGAGGAGGCCTTTTTCCCAGTGCCAGGTAGGAGGACGACTGTGCTGGCAGGGCCCAACATAGATTCTGCACAGCCCCACTGAGATAAAAAAACAGGTAACCAGGGACGTCTTCTGTAATTACACACAGAACCCGTTGGAGCTGCTGTGATTTTACAGCAGCTCCACCCGGGGTGTCAGTGTACTGAGGAGCCCCGGTGTAATGACAGAAGGTGTCCCTGGTTACCAGGTAACCAGGAACGCCTTCTGTTATTACACACAGAACCCGTCGGAGCTGCTGTGATTTTACTGCAGCTCCGATGGGTTCTCAGTGTAATGATAGATCAACGTCTGTGGTTACCTGGTAACCAGGGACGCTGATCTCTCTGCAAGTGGCCGGAGCCAGAAGCAGGCTGTCGGCCAGCTTCGAATTACCCCTGGGCTCACTCGAGCCGAAGCATATGCCTTCGGCTCGACTGAGCCCCTCGGCCAACTTCGGGGGCTGTATGGGCTATAGTGAATAGCCCGCACAGCAGCCCTGAACAGAAGGGGACCTGGAGCCAAAGCTACCCGAAGGATCAGCCGAAGCTACGACTAGATCCTTCGGTAGCTTCGTGAATAGACCCCTTAATGTTTTAGTAGACTAGCACACCAAATAGCTTCAACGCAAGAAATATGTATCTTTATTTCCTCGATGTGACTGTCATTTTTAAATCTCATTGGACTCAACTTAACATAACTGTAATTTTTTTAAAACTAACCTCAACCTGGTGTGTTAGGTTTGTGAATTGAGCTTAATGTCTCTTTAAACTGATCACGTACACACACATAAAATATTTAAAGGAGAACTATGAGGTAAGTGATTTCCACTCATCCTCATAGTTAGAGCCAAACTGTGACAAAGAAGGGATTCCCCCTTCTCCGATCTTCTAGTGCTGAGTGGAGGAACCAACAGGGAGGGGGCAGGCACAGCTGGCTCTGCCTCTAGATAGGCAGAGACAGCTGTCACTCACGCAGCTGGGTGGATCACGACAGTATTGTCGTGATCCGTCCCGGCTGCGGCGCTCTCAGTATATCGCTGGCAAAAGACCGCGATATACTGAGCTTTGACTCACGGGAGGAGGTTAGTATATGTCCTCCTATGACCCTAAAGAGAACTATGGGGAAAAACACTTACCCCATAGTTCCTATTGTAATGTACATTGATAGCTCTTATTTACCCTGTACCTACTGTATACGTTGTTTCCCATGGCCATGGTAAGAGAAGCATACTGCATATATCGTTGCTTAGAACAAACAGAGCTGACCATTTACATTTTGTGACCGGAATAATTTAGATTGTGGTAATATTGCTCCTATAAAACATCTACTTTCAATTATACACATTATAAAGGACTTTATTACCTCTGTATACAGCTGAGCTTTCACTCCATCCCTGATACTACATAACAGAATAAACAAATTTTTATCAGTGCTAGCCCAGGCCTCTTCCAGTGACATCTATGTGTAATTTATATGTTGTCAATTTAACCTACTGACTGCTCTTTAGTACAAATAAACAACAGCTCTCAAATGAAAGAACCCGGTCCAGCAATTTCTATGGCTGCTAACCGCCTACGTTAATTCTTTGTTTAATTAAAATACTTCAGTCACACA